TTGCAACGTTGGCGCGCCGCATCTCTGCAGCGCTGGAGCGGTGCGAGCATTGCTGCGCTGGAACGCGGTCGACCGTGCTGCGCTGGAGGTCGACCAGCAGCTGTGCTAGCTCTGATGTAGTCTTGCATGCCAATGTTGTTGCAATCCGTATTCTCAAATTTTGCTGCTGAAACTCTTGCCAAATTGCTGCGTGAACTAGCAAGCAGTGTGTGCACTAGGAAAACGACAAAGTGAGATCCCTCCTACCCTGTGCCTAGCCCGTAGCCTAGCTCCCGTTGATAGAGTTATCTCCGCATGGTGCGGTGAGCGTGGAAGGCACACGACTTATGTTTCAGTCTAGTCGACTTAGTGGTCACTTACCTATAGTGTTCATAGGCCAGCAGCTTTGCGTTAGTCACCATGGTAGGAGCCGTAGGTGACGCAGGGGTGGTGGACACCCTGGAGGCACGGCTGGAGAATGCGAGGAGACGGCACGAGGCCAACAAGTATGGCGACCTGCCCTGGGCGGTTGTCGAGGCTGGCATCCGCACAGTGTGGGCGACGGAGCACCCTCCTTCTCGGCCTGCTTCACCTCGACCGGTGAACACTCAAGGCGGCGTCGACGTGGGCGTCAACGCCGGTGGTGGCCAGGTCGGCAGCAGTGCGGGAGGCACGTCGAGGCAGAGAGGTGTGATACATGCCGATGAAGTCGGCGGCGTTCAGGCGCGAGGGGTGTGGTCGTCGGCGGTTGCAGGCTCCTCGCAAGGCGACGTTGGAGGTCGACGAAGCGGTTTGTCGCCGATGTCGGCGACCCACGTGACAGCGGGCGGGATTGCACCGAGGTACGGCTACTTTAAGTTTACGCTGGACAGAATCTCGGTCACCCCCCTGCTGGTCGGTCGACCCGACATTCTCACCTGGAAGGAAGCTATTGAGCCCCAGCTGGAGATGGCCGAGCTGATCGGCTTTGCTCGTGGTACCGTGGCGACGCCGGAGGAGCACTACCCCGACTTACGAGCGGAGTTTTGCGGCGTGCAGCTGCTGACCTTCACGGTCATCTCGCGGTGCTGCTCGCCGGGCGTGCAGATCGCCTTGAAGTCGTGCAGGGAGTACCTCGACGCCGGCCACCGGGCGTGGCACTTCATCGAGTCGACCTACCAGGTCACCGACGATTTGTTCATCGCCCAACTAGAGGGACAGCTGACGCACCTGCGTATGGGCGACCAGGAGACCGCGACTGACTGATGCAGCCGAGCCCGGCGAATTATCGCCACCATAAGGATGGTCGGCGAGCAGTACTCGACGACGTCGTACGTCACACATGTCATGCAGGGGCTTCCGAGCAGCTACAACCTACTTAAGCGGCTGTCGATGGCGCTGAGTGTCAGAATAGTAGAAAGAAACAAGAATGAAGAAAGAAGGAGTTTCACTAGCAGCAGTTGGGGTACATATAGCAAACCCTAACTGGGTTGTACTCGCTATAGAGCACCCCACTACAGGCTAGATAATAACATTCTGACACACCCCCATAGCCAAAGTGGGGTGTAATCAGCACAATGAGCAGGCATAGCAATAGTTCACAATTATAAGCAAAGCTAGAGGTGATCATAGAGGGCAAGTGAGGAGGAGGAGGAACTGTGAGAGGAGAGAAGATGGGAGGCGATGGCTGAAGCTGCAGACACACGGGCAACAGGAGCGGCGCGCACAGTGGCTACCGGTGGCAAGGGCCCCGGACTACAGGAGTAACAGGCTCCGCGGCTAAGACGAGCGGCAGGAGCAACGGACCCACGGGCGACAGGCGCAGCAGGCTCTCTGGGCTACCAGCGGCAAGGGCCCCGGACTACAGGCGCTGCGGACGACAAGACTGCTGCCTCCACTCAACCTCCCCCAACTGTCCCACGCCCCTCTCACACACCCCCTGCTGAAACCCTAGCTCCACTCCCACGGCACCCCCCTTAAACCCTAAACCCTCGGCTCCCACACACCCACCCCCCTCAGCGGCAGCTGCAGCAGTGGGAGACGGAGGAGGAGGAGGAGCTGCAGGTTACCCACACCGATCACCCCCATGCTTGCCACTCCCAAACCCTAACGCAGGCAGGAGCGCGGGAAACAGCAGGGGCAGTTCACGGAGAGAAAGGGAGGCGGCGGGGTGTCTCCTGGGCGCCACGAAGAAGCAGGGCGCGGGCCCCCCGAGGGCGCCACGGCGGGTGACGGGAGGGGGGCCGCGCACGGGCCCCCGAGGGCGGCTCGACGGGCGACGGGAGGGGCCGCGCGCGGGCCCCCAAGGCGCCGCGACGAGGCGACGGGAGGGGGCGGCGCGCGGGCCCCCAAGGTGCCGCGACGAGGCGACGGGAGGGGGCGGCGCGCGGGCCCCCAAGGTGCCGCGACGAGGCGACGGGAGGTGGGGGACGCGCGGGCCCCCAAGGCGCCGCGACGAGGCAACGGGAGGGGCCGGCGCGCGGGTCCCTGGGCCGCCCCGAGCGCACGGCGGGATGAAAAACCCCGGCAGGAAGAAGACGGCGCGCGCCCGAGGCGCGCGAGAAGCAGAACAGCAGCGGAAGCAGTTAGGTGGCGGGCCCACCCACAGGATCGACCCAAGGGGGTCGACCTGCTCTGATAGCATGTCAGAATAGTAGAAAGAAACAAGAATGAAGAAAGGAGGAGTTTCACTAGCAGCAGTTGGGGTACATATAGCAAACCCTAACTGGGTTGTACTCGCTATAGAGCACCCCACTACAGGCTAGATAATAACATTCTGACACAGAGCACGCGGGCGACGCTCAACGAGGACACGTTGACCTCGTACATCCTGCAGGACGAGGCAATGCAGGAGGCTGAGCGGTCCCAGGAGCTCTTGGCGCAGGTGAACTACGTCGCCCTAGCGAAGCAGGGTGGTCGACCGGGGCAGCTTGGGCAGTCTGGCGGCGGTGGCAGCAGCGGGTGGAAGCCGCCGAAGGATGCCGACAAGGCGAAGTTGGCCAAGGACAGCGGTCGAGGAGGAGGAAGTCGACGTCAGGAATGTTGGCTGTGCGGCGACCCCGACCACCTCTCCTTCGAGTGCCCCGACCGCAGTGACTCCGACGACGACGACGCCAAGGGAGGCCGCGGGAGGTCGGCTAACCGTCGTCCACGTCGAGGAAACCAGCCGCACAAGGAGAAGCAGTCGACCAAGTCGACCTCGGCGAAGGACGCCGACTCCTCTGCTGGCGGCAAGGGGCGAGACGACAAGGCGGCGTTGTGCTCGCTGGTCGGCGTCGTGGAGCCGACCGTCTCGCTGGCGCTGGAGGCTGGCGAGGACTTCCAGTCGGTGGCAGCAGCTGTGCAGGCAAACCCGATGGCGGTCCTGCTCGACAGCGGTTGCTCCCACCACCTGATGGGGACGAAGGACGCCTTCGTCGACTTGGGGCCGAGCGGCAACGTGCGTGGCTTCAACGAGGCGCTGCAGGACGTCCAGGCCAGGGCACAGTCACTCTGCAAGGCGCAGCCGGGAAGCGGGTGCTCATCCCCGATGTGCTTTACGTGCCAGGCGTGCGGACGAACCTGCTGTCCGCCGGTCAGCTGAAGGAGACCGGCGTGGAGCTGTAGGAGGACGGGGACGGGATGTTGCTCATCTCCGCAGCAGGGGAGGTGCTCGGTCGAGCGAAGTACATCGTGCATGTCCTTTGCACTGACCTGCGTCCCGACTCGGCGTCGCCCACTACGGAGGTGGTGGCTCTGCGGGCGATCGTCTCGGCGACGAAGTCGACGCCGGACAGGCTGCACGCGAGACTTGCGCACGTCGGCATGGACACCATCCGGAGCTCGGCGAAGCATGAGGTCGCCATTGGGCTGGACCTCAGTTCAGCGTCCGGCGCCGACTCGTTGAGTGTTTCGTGCGTCGGCGGGAAGCTGGCGCGGCACACCTTCCCCGACCAGGGCTCCGACGCCGCCGACGTGCCGGCCGTCGTGCACATCGACCTGAAAGGGCCGTTTTGCGTGGCTGCTAGGGACGGTAGCTTGTACTTCTTGCTGCTGAAGGACCGCAAGACCCGCTACATGTGGGTGAGGCCGGTCGCCAAGAAGTCGGACGTGCTGCTGGAGTTCCAGAAGTGGCTGGTGTTGGTGGAGGGGCAGGCGAAGAAGTCGGTGCTAGTGCTTCGCTCCGACCGAGGTGGGGAGTTCCTCGGGAAGACGTTCACCGACTTCGTGGACGGCAAGGGGATCGTCCACGACCTGACCTGCCCGTACACCCCGCAGCAGAACGGCATGGCGGAGCGGGAGATGCGCACGGTGGTGGAGTCGGTGCGGACGATGCTGCTGCACATGGGCGTGCAGCACCACTGGTGGCACCTCGCCCTGCGGCAGGCCGTCTGGGTTCGCAACTGCCTGGAGCGGTCGGTGCTTCCACCAGGGACGATGCCGTATCAGCTGCTCACCGGGTCAAAGCCCGACTTGTCGATGGCACGGGTGTGGGGTTGCATGGCCCAGTTCCTCGTTCCCAAGCAGCAGCGTGGTGGGAAGCTGCAGCCGAAGGCCAGGTGGGGCCTTCACCTCGGTGTGTCGGAGGAGAGCAAGGGCTGGGAGCTCCTCGACCTCGCCGACAACCGGGTGGTCAACACGTCGGATTTGGTGTTCTACGAGAACATGTCCCTGGAAGTGTGGAAGTCGGAGCACGGACCGGCGTCGGGGCGGATGCCGACCACCCTGCCGACGGACACCTCCATGGCGACCCTCCCTCTGCTCGCCGAGGTCGGTGAGCCTGCTGCTAAGGAGGTCGAGGATGTCCCCTCTCCCTTCCCCTCCCCTGCTCCTCCTGCCCCTCCCCTCGTCGCCGACCTGCGTGGGCTGACTCCGGTGTCGGCCTCCGGCGATGAGGGGAGCAGTGGGGCGTCGCCTGTGGCGCCGGCCAAGTGCATCGCCGGTGGCCGACGAGATGCCAAGCCAGTCGGCGTTGGAGCGAAGTCGCCGTTGACCGGGGAGCAGCAGGCCGAGCAGACGCAGCCAACTTTGGTGAAGGTGGTGTGGGCAGAGCAGCAGCTGACATGGGAGCAGGCAGCGGAGACGCCGACCGAGCAGCAGTTGACAAACGACAGTCGGCAGGGCTGCCGACCGCAGGGGAGAAGTCGGCTTGGACGCCGACTGTGGTGCAGCCGGACGCTGAGGGCAGCGACACAGGAGACGACGGAAGGGAGCCGTCGGGCGCCGCGGAATCCACGGACAGCGATGTCGTGGAAGTTCAGCCCGGGCCATGGTGGACGGGCCGACTTCAGCGGCCGCCTGACTTCTTCATCCACGCTGCCTTTACCACGGTGTACGACGTGGACGCTGACGACCTGGCGTACGACGACGCCGAGGATGACGTCGACCTGCCGGAGCTCGACCCCGACATGCACGCCGACCCCGAGCACCGCTGGGACATTTCTACCATGTCGGTGAAGGAGGCGCTGGCGAGCTGGAAGGGCCCGGCGGTGAAGGCCGCCATGGAGGAGGAGATCCGCAGCCTCATCAAAAAGGGCACATGGGAGCTCGTCGAACGTACGCCGGGGGTGAACATCATGAAGAACCGGTGGGTGCTGACGACGAAGTACCGCATCGACGACACCGCCGAGCGCGAGAAGGCACGGCTGGTCGTGAAGGGCTTCACGCAGGTGTATGGCGCCGACTACGACAAGACGTACGCGCCGGTGAGCAGCTACGTCACGCTGAGGATCTTCCTCAGCATCGTCGCCGTCCTCGACTTCAACCTGATGCAGCTCGACATGAAGAACACCTTCCTGCAGAGCAAGCTCGACCGCGTGCTGTACATGTACCAGCCAGACTACTTCAACGACGGGACCGGCCGGGTGTGCAAGCTGCTGAAGAGCCTCTACGGGCTGAAGTAGTCGCCGCTGCTGTGGTACAAGGCTCTCAACGACGTGCTGGTCGACGCTGGCTGGAAGAAGAGCCAGGTCGACGAGGCCCTTTACTTCAAGGTCGGCGCCGCCAAAGTGACCTGCTGGGTGCTGGTCTACGTCGACGACCTGCTCACCGCCAGCAGTATTGCCGAGATGCTAAAGGAGCTGCTGGAGGCCGCCTTCGAGCTGCGGGAGATCTCCCCATTGCAGAAGTACCTCGGGCTGGAGATCGTGCGCGACAGGCCAGCGAGGAAGCTGTGGCTGCACCAGCGGGGCTACGTCGACAAGCTGCGCAAGTGGTTCCTCGACGAGGAGCAGACCGGGCGCACCCCGAAGACGCCGGTCTCGGTCGACGCCTACGCCGAGCTCACCTTTGACGACGAGGAGGCACAGGAGCGCCAGGAGGAGGAGTACCGGCAGAAGGTCGGCTCGCTGCAATTCGCGGCGACAACGACGAGGCCGGACATCGCCTTCGCCTACAGCAAGCTGGGGAGCGGCCTCACAGTGAGGAGCGACCAGCACTGGCGTGAGGTCGACCGCTGCCTCGCCTACCTCGCCAACACCCTCGACACCGCCCTGGAGTTCGGCGTTGGACCTGAGATGCTGGAGTTGATCGGCTACGTGGACTCCGACGACGCCGGTGACAAGCAAAGCCGGACGAGCACGGGCGGCTATGTGTTCGTCTACGGAGGGGCCGCGGTCTCCTGGTCGAGCCAGCGCATCAAGTGCGCGACGCTGTCGTCGACCGAGTCGGAGTACGTGGCGGCCACCGAAGCTGGCAAGGAGTGACGCCGCCTTTGGTCCCTCCTCGCAGAGTTCCGGCATCTAGATGCCAGGAAGCCGACCGTCCTTCGGGTGGACAACAAGTTGGCCATCACAGTCGCCGAGGGCATGGGGTTGACGGGCAACCTCAAGCACATGGAGCGGCGACAGGCCTGGCTGCAGCACATGGTGAAGCGCGGGAAGTTCTCGCTGAAGTACATCCCGACAGCTGAGCAGCCGACCGACATTCTGACGAAGGTGCTGCACTATCCGGCCTTCAACCGGTGCTCCGTCGCAATCGGCCAAGTGCGCCTGGCCGACGTGGACGACGGCGACGAGGACGTGCAGTAGTTGGTGCCATGCCCTCCTGCATGGCCGGTGCGGTGATCGGCGTGCTGTGTGTCGTATGCACGCTGCTGACCTTTTCTCCGAGCAGTGCTGCCGTGTGGGCCAGGGGGCCCAAGCGTGAACGCGGCAGGGGAGTGTCAACGGGAGTCGTTGTGTGGCCCCGTCCTCGCTTGGGCGGAGCCGACCTCGTGGTCGGGTGTACAGGGGAGTGCAGCCGACCTGCAGCAGTGGGCGAGCTGGTCGACGAGAGTGGTCGACCTACACGGGGCCACTGCAGAGCCGCCAACGTTGGGAGCCGGCGGTCGACTTCAACCTGGTGGTCGACGAGGAGGACGTCGACCTGGGTGGTGCGCCGACTTTGGAAGCGCGCCGACTTCAGGAGTGTTGTCGACCTGGGGGTCGACTAGGGCGGTGTGGTCGACCTAGTGCTTCTGTTCGCACACGCGTCCGGTACTCAGACCGCTCCTTAGCAGCCTAGCCCGCTGCCCACTACCCCACCGCCTACTCGGTCGAGTCTGCTGCAGATCTGTATAAGGCTATTGTTGATCGCTACTCCACTCCCTCCTCTGCTTCACTCAGTCGCCTCCTCGTCCCCTTTATCTACCCTGACCTCGCCTCCTTTGAGACTGTCTCTGACCTCGTTACCCACCTTCGCTCCCTTGACGCTCGCTTTCGCGCTGCTTGCACTGAGGACCAGCTTGCCCTTGCCCCGCCCCCTATGTGGCTCACTATTCACTGGCTAGTCACTCGCCTCCCTGACCGCCTAGCCACAGCCCGCGACGCGCTTCTTCTGAAGCACCCCACTGAGCTTACCATCGATCTTCTTGAGACTGCTCTCTCGAAGATCGAGAGTAACCTCCTCGCTGTTGCCTCTGCCTCTTCCGCGCCTCCTCCTCGTCTTTTTGAGGGGTGTGCGGTACCACAGCTTCCCACCTTCACTGCCTCCCTTGCCACCCCCGCGTCTTCTGCCTCTGAGGAGACGGCGGCTGTTTCTGTCTCTGGCGGACAGAAACGTGGCAAGGCCGGTGAGAACGGCGGGAAGGGCGGCGGAGGTACTGGAGGTGGTGCGGGTAGTGGCGGTGGCGGTGGAGCAGGTGGTGGGAGTGGTGGTGGGGGTGGCTCGGGACCTGACGGCCCTCCTCTCGACGGTGGAGTTTTCACTGGTGGTGAGGGGTTCCAGCAGCAGCAGCAGCAGCCGGCTTCTCAGCAGCTGCCACCGCCTGGACAGCAGCAGCGGCAGGGACAGCAGCAGCAGCGACAGGGCCAGCCGCAGCGCCCGCCACAGCCGCAGCCGCAGCAGTGGGGCCCTCCGCAGCCGTGGGGCTCTCCGCAGCAGTGGAGGTCTGCGGGTCCCCCGAGCACTGGGCGCAGTGCTGCCCCCTCCAGTCGGGGACCTCGCTCGGCCGGTCGCGACGTTGGTCCCTGTGAGTACTGGATCCTTACGGGTCCACGTAGGGACTCGTACTGTGGCCGCCCTGACCACTCTGCTGCACGCTGCTTCAGTCGTCTCGACGACCTCTACCGCTTCCACCACGGCCCCTCCGCTCCCCCGCCGCCGCGTTGGGGGACACTTCTTGCTCGTGGTATCTCTGTTTTTGATATGACTATGGATGATGCTAGGTCTTATGCCATGTATGCTGATGTTGACTATAGTGCTCCTGGATCTGTGTACTTGCCTGTGCCTAGCGTAGGCTCTTTGCCTGTTGCTAGAGTAGGTGCTAGTGTAGGATCTTGTTTAGCTACTAGTACAGGTGCTCCCTCGGCGGACGCGTCTCTCTCCCTCGGGAGCTTCACACTGTTTCTTCCGCGACCGCACGACTCTCTCTCCACTGCCGGCGCCAGTCCCTGTAGCACTGGCCGATCCCTCTTCGGGACCGGTCATTGCGACTCACGCCACTACGCTCCCGTGCCCGGCTGCTCCTTCCGGTTCCCTGACTGGCCTCCACGTTCCTACGTTCTCTAGGAACCTGGTTGGTGTGGGCACCCTGGCGAGACAGCACGTCGGAGTCTGGGTTGAGCCTTCTGGTGACACCGCGGTCTGTGTGGACGGTGACACGTACGCCCCCTTGGCCACTTTTCGCCAGGAGCCGGGCTCCGGTCTGTACACCCTCCACACCGACCCCCGTCAGGTTCCTCCGTCCCACCAGGTAGCCAGGTCCAGTCAGGTTGCTGTGTCCGGTCCCGTTGCTGCGTCGTGCTCGTGTCGGTCGCTTGCCCACCCCTCCCTCCTCTGGCACCACCGCCTTGGTCACCCGTCCCTCCCTCGTCTTTGTGCTATGTCCAGTCAGCGTCTTGTCTTAGGCCTCCCCCGAGTCCTTCCGCCGCTCCCGCCGTCCCCAGCTCCTCCTTGCGGTCCTTGTGTCCAGGGTCGGCTGCGCGCCACCCCTCACTCCTCCTCCCTTCGTCCGGCCACCGAGCCCTTTGAGACACTCCACTTAGACGTCTGGGGCCCCGCTTCCCGCCTTGGCCCTGAGCGGGAGAGTTTCTTTCTGGTGGTCGTTGACGACTACTCTCGGTACACCACCGTGTTCCCTTTGGCGAAGAAGTCCAATGTGACTTCTACGCTGATCCGGTGGCTGCTCGCCACCGAGAGTACTCGCCGTCGTCGTGTCAGTTGTCTCCACTCCGACCGTGGGGGTGAGTTTCGCTCCGGCGTTCTCGCCAGATTCTGTGCTGAGCAGGGCATCTCCCAGTCCTGGACTCTTCCAGACTCTCCACAGCAGAATGGGGTTGCTGAGCGCCGCTTAGGCCTGGTCATGGAGATTGCCCGCACCTCCATGATCCACGCCAGCGTGCCCCATTTTCTGTGGCCCTACGCGGCTCGGTACGCCGCTCACCAGCTGAACCTCTGGCCTCGTGTCTCTCGGCCAGAGGCTTCACCGACCAGTCTTTGGACAGGGTCCCCTGGTGTAGCGTCGAGGTTTAGTGTCTGGGGCTGCTTGGCTCTTGCCCGTGGCACCTCTGCGGACAAGATCTCACCTCGCGCCGTCCCCTGTGTCTTCCTTGGTTTCCCAGAGGACTCCTCTGACTTCACCTTTTACCACCCTCCCTCCCACCGGTTCTTTGACTCTCGTGACGTCCGTTTCGACGAGTCCGTCCCCTACTACGTCCGGTACCCCTGTCGAGGTCTCCCGGTTCCCCCCCCTCCCCTCTTCCTGGCTCCAGCTCCTCCTCCTCCCGCCCCTGCTCCTCCGGTACCCCCCCCTGTTCCCGCTCCGTCTGGTATGTCCCACGCTACCCCCCCCCCCCCCCCCCCCCCTCGGTACCCCCCCAGGTCTCTCCTCCTTCCCCACAGTCGTCCTCACAGCCTCCGCAGCAGCCGTCAGCGCTTCCTTTACCGACCACTGTGGACTCTGAGGGTGTTGGTGCTCGAGGTGAGGGCTCTGGCGGTGCTCGCTCTGGGGGTGCTGGCGTTGGAGCTGTTCGTGCACCTACAGGAGCCGCCCGTTCTGGGGGTGTTGGCGTTGGCGCTGAGCGTTCACCTGTTGCAGCTGCCCGTTCCGAGGGTACTGGAGCTGGTGGTGGTGCTGGAGCTAGTGGTGTTCCTGGAGCTGGAGGGTCTAGGACTGGTGCTAGAGTGTCTGGGACTGGTGCTGGTGCCACTGGAGGCACCACGACTGGGGGTGCGGGTACACCTCCTACAGGTGCTGGTCGTGCTGTCGCAGGGGGTACTCGCTCTGGGGGTGCTCAGCCGGGTACTGTCGAGGGCGGAGCTGGTTCTTCTTCTTCGTCTCCTGACACCACTCCTCCTCCTCACCCCTACCCTACTCGTTACCAGGCCCTTCTTCGTGTTGAGCGTGAGGAGCAGCAGCGTTTGGAGCGTGAGAGGTTGGAGGTTCAGCGGCGGGTGGAGCGTGAGCGGTTGGAGTTGCAGCGGAAGCAGCAGCAGCAGCAGCAGCAGCAGGAGCAGCAGCAGCGGCAGCAGCAGCAGCAGCCGCCGCCGCCGCCGCCGCAGCAGCAGCAGGAGCAGCAGCCGGCGTAGCCTCCGGCCCTTGTTTCTGGCCTTAAGGCCCTTGGTCTCCCCTCCTCTCCTCCTGTGTTCGGTCCTACGTTTCCTCCTCCGGACTCCGCTCCGGCTGTGTTCCCTCGTCCTCAGTCTCCTCCGTCTCCCTCTCCTCTCGCCCACACTTGGGCCTCTCGTCCTCCTCGTGCTCGTCCTTCGTCACCTGTCACTGACCTCCGTACTGTGTTGTTCCGTCCTAGTCCTCCTCGTTCTCCTCCGTCTGTCCTTCCTCGCCCTCCTGAGTCGTCTCTCACTGCCTCCCTGTCCACTCCGGTCACTGACTACTACCGCACGTACCGCCCCACTCTCTCTCGTGTTCTCGCCTCTCTTGTTACCGACCCTCGTGCCTCTCCTTCCTCCGTCGCGGTCCTCACTGCCGCTGTCACTGACTTTACTGCTACGCGTCGCCTTGACTACGCCACTCGTGTTGTGGCCGCTCCTCCTGTCCGTCCTCTGTCCGCCGGGGGTGAGTCTGCCCTTGGCTGTGCCGTCCTAGAGGACAGACAGTTTGAGCTAGAGTTCCTGGCAGCTGCTTCGCCTCATCTCTGTGCCATGCTGCTCACTCCTGAGGGAGACCCCGACGCTCCTGACATACCTACTCCTCGCATTTACACTAAGGCAGTGTCAGGGCCTTGGGCCTCTCAGTGGAGAGCTGCCATGGACGTAGAGATGGCCTCCTACAGGTCCACAGGCACTTACGTTGACGAGGTTCCCCCCCCAGGGGCGAACATAGTTGACGGCATGTGGATCTTCAAGGTGAAGCGGCCGCCGGGATCTCCCCCAGTCTTCAAGGCACGCTACGTGGCTAGAGGTTTCAGTCAGCGCGAGGGGGTTGACTTCTTTCAGACCTTCGCGCCCACCCCGAAGATGACCACTCTTCGGGTGTTACTTCACGTAGCGGCACAGAGGGACTACGAGCTACACTCCCTCGACTTCTCCACCGCCTTCCTGCAGGGCAGCCTACACGAGGAGATCTGGCTGCGTCGTCCTCCGGGCTTCACTGGCACCTTCCCGCCTGGGACCCAGTGGAGCCTCAGACGACCGGTCTACGGTCTCCGTCAGGCACCCCGTGAGTGGCACGACACTCTCCGCTCTACTCTGTCCGACCTCGGGTTTGAGCCGTCTTCCGCCGACCCGTCGCTGTTTGTTCGTCGTGGGCGCACACCTTTCTTCGTTCTGGTCTACGTTGACGACTTGGTTTTTGCCACAGCCGACACAGTTGCACTGGCGGAGGTGAAGTCCGAACTGCAGAAGAGACACACCTGCACTGACCTTGGGGAACTGCGCCGCTACCTTGGCCTGCAGATCTCCAGGGACAGAGCCGCTCGCACCATCACTCTGACTCAGTCACACATGGTGCAGCAGGTCCTTCAGCGGTTCGGGCTTCAGCACTCCTCTCCTACACCCACCCCTCTTGCTGTAGACCACAGACTCACTGGGCCTTTTCCTGACGAGCCGTTCGAGCCCAGTGGTCCCTACGCAGAGCTGGTGGGCTGCCTCATGTACCTGATGACGTGCACTCGCCCGGACCTCGCCTTCCCTCTTAGCATCCTTTCTCGCTTTGTTGCGACTGGGAGACACCGTCCTGTTCACTGGACGGCGGCTAAGAGGGTGGCGAAGTACCTTGCCACGACATCAGACATGGGGCTTGTACTTGGAGGGACACAGCCAGTTGTACTCACCGGTCACTGCGACTCCTCCTACGCCGACGACGTTGAGACTCAGAGGTCTACACAGGGTTACTGTTTCAGTCTGGGCTCTGGAGCTGTTTCGTGGAGGTCTACTCGGTCCTCCTCTGTTGCGACTTCTACCGCAGAGGCCGAGATCTACGCTGGAGCCCTTGCTGCACAGGAGCTGCGCTGGTTGACCTTCTTGCTCACTGACCTTGGTGAGCGGCTGAGCTCTGCACCGACCTTGTTTGCTGACAACAAGGCGATGATTCTCCTGTGTCGTGAGCCTCGACTGGAGAGCAGAGTGAAGCACATCGACGTCAGGTACTTCCTCCTTCGAGAGTTGCAGAGACGCGGTCAGGCGCGTCTGGACTTCGTGGCCTCCGAGGCCAACACTGCAGACATCTTCACCAAGGCCCTTCAGCCTTGTGACCACCGCCGGTTTTGTCTGCAGTTAGGCCTCGTTGAGACTGGGTCTAGTAGACTGCAGTAGTGAGTTCTTGCCCCTTGTTTGTTTGTACTATATATATTAGCTTGTACTCTCTTGAACTGGCCTTGTGGCCTCTTGTTTGTGCTCAGACTGGTGGTGACGTTGTGATCCACCCTGAGCTCTGTTTGCTCTCTTGCTTGTGACTGGTCTTGTGACCTTAGGTTGTGTTTTTTGTTGCTTGGCATTCCCCACTTAGGCTATGGGGGTGTGTCAAATGTTATAGCCTCTAGTGGGACATGCTATATGGGGTACAAACAGTTAGGGTTAGGCATTTGTACCCCAACACAATCAATCTAACTCATTCCGCTGTTTTCACTTTGTGAGAGTTTAACACTAGGAAGGTTGGTTGGGGCGATCAATACAAGGCCAAGATTTTGGGTGCGAGGGGCACACTCAACTGGGGTTAGGGAGGTTGAACCAATTTGGGCTCTCTTGGCCCTCCGATTTTAATAAGGCATAGAATGAGGTATGACTATGCCACTGTCCCAACCAGGGCTAATAATTAAATTTCAGCTTCCCTTATTATCAGTCTAGTCTTTTAAAAAAAACCCTGATTATCAGTCTTCCCCATTGTCCTTACTCTAGTCCGTCAAGGTTTTCCTTGTTTATGAAAATATTACTCTATGGTCAACGTGAAACGTTTTTAAGTACCCTTACGTAATTGTCAGTGTACTATTCTTTACCATTGTTATCGCGATGCCTTCCTTAGCGAGTCAACCACGCGATACCCTGACTTGCTCGGGATGCAGTGCCCAGTGCACGAGTTGTCAGAATACAGAACGAGTATGATGCATTGAGGACAGATCTGTGTACAAGTACTAACCCTAATTGGGTTGTACCCCTTATGGGCTACCCCACTACAGCCTACACAATATAGACATTATAATGTTCTGACACATCCACGTAGTTAAAGTGGGGGAGAACCAGTGGTCACAAGACCAGTCAAGAAAAGCAAAACAAGCTCAGGGTGGATCTCGAAGTCAAGTCACCACACATTCTGAGCACAAGCAAATGGCCACAAGGCCAGTTCACATGTAGAGTAATATAAAATAGAGCAAATAGTACAGTGATCATAGCTTAGCAAGAGTAAGCATGCAGGTATATATATAGATCACAGTACAAGCAAAGTCACGCAGTGAGCAAGTGAGACAAAGCAGGCACAAGGCCTAAAGCAATACACAAACGCTGATGATCACCAGGCAAAAGTGCCTTGGTGAATATATCAGCAGTTTTGGCCCAGGTGGCCACGTAAGCCAGAGGAAGCTAACCACGCTGCTGCAACTCTCGAGCAAGGAAGTAACGCAGAGCGATGTGCTTCGTTCTGTGCTCCAGCCTGTGCTCCTGACACAAGGCAATAGCGGCCTTGTTGTCTACGTACAGAACTGGAGGAGAATGAGGCCGCTCTCCCAAGTCGGTCAGCAGGTAGGTGAGCCAGCGTAACTCCTGTGCAGCCATGGCTGTGGCGTAGATCTCAGCCTCACAACTGGAGCTGAGAACAGAAGACGAGCGGGTAGACCGCCAAGAAACAGAGCCGGAGCCAAGGCTGAACGTGTAACCCTGTGACGACCGCTGCGTAGCTAGGTCGTCAACCCAAGACGCGTCTGAGTGTCCAGTGAGGACAATCCGACCCCGTCCTCCAAGCACGAGCCCCATGCCCGATGTACTGCACAAGTAGTGCAACACCCTCTTAGCCACTTCCCCATGCTCTGGTCGGTGTCTCCCGGGCGCAACGTAGCGTGCCAGGATGCTAAGAGGGTACGCAAGGTCAGGTCGAGTGCAGGTCATCAGGTACATGAGGCAGCCCACAAGCTCTGGATACGGGCCACTCGGTTCTACGGACTCGTCCGAAGGTGGAGCTGAGAGCGAGTGACCTGTAGGCAGAGGAGTGGACTGCGGCGAGCAAAACCGGAAGCCGAAGCGCTGAAGGACCTGGTGGGCCATGTGTGACTGAGTCAGGGTGATGGTGCACCGTGCTCTGTCCCGGGTGATCTGCAAGCCAAGGTAGCTGCGCAACTCACCCAGGTCTGTGCACGTGTATCTCTTCTGCAGCTCCGACTTCACAAGGGCCAGTGCCTCAGTGTCAGCAGTGGCAAAAACCAAGTCGTCAACGTACACGAGGATGTAGAACGGCGGCAGCGAAGTGTCAGTGCGCAGAAACAGCGATGGGTCAGCAGTCGAAGGAGCAAACCTAAGAGCCGCAAGTGTCGTCCTCAGTGTGTCGTGCCACTTACGAGGCGCCTGGCGGAGACCGTAGACTGGCCGCTGGAGGCTCCACTGGGTACCTGCAGGAAACGACCCAGTGAAGCCAGGTGGGCGGCGTAGCCAGATGTCGTCGTGCAGGCTGCCCTGTAAGAAAGCTGTGCTGAAGTCAAGAGAGTGAAGCTCGTAGTCACACTGAGCAGCAACGTGCAGCAACACCCGAAGAGTGGTCATTTTCGGGGTAGAGGAGAAGGTCTGGAAGAAGTCAACTCCCTGCCGCTGACTGAAGCCTCGTGCAACGTAACGAGCCTTAAAGACAGGCGGAGAACCGGGCGGTTGATTCACCCTGAAAATCCACATGCCATCGACTATGTTCGCCCTAGGAGGGGGAACTGCGTTGAAGTTAACCGCCTGTGGACTTCCAGGATGCCATCTATGCGTCCATGGTTGTCTGCCACTGAGAGGAGTAGGGACCCGTAATCGCCTCTGTGTAAGAGCGCGGGGTCGGGATATCCACTGCATCCGGGTCTCCCTCAGGTGCAAGCAGCATGGCCACGAGATGAGGTACAGCAGCTGCAAGACACTAAAAATCCTCCTGCCTGTCCTCAAGGACGTCCGTGCCTAGAGCACACTCACCCCCGACGGACGGAGGACAGTCAGACTCAGACTCAGCAACAAGACTAGCGGCGTAGTCGAGACGACAGGCAGCAGCAAAGTCAACCAGCTCAGCAACTAAGGCAGACGCAGCAGTGGACTCAAACGAAGGGTCAGTGACAACAGTGGCTAGGAGACGTGTGACAGTAGGGCTAGCAGCACGAACCAAGTCAGACTTAGTGTCCGGAACGTGCGGAAGAGAGGACGCAGGAGGAGACGGCAGGGGGACACGCTGTGGAACAGAGGAAGGACGAAGTGCCATAGTGTGAGTGCCGGGGACAGGAGGAGGACGCGGACGAGGAACACGACGACCAGTGCAAACAGCTCGAACAGGTGAGACAGGATGAGACTCAGGCTTACGGCGCTCTGTAAGAGAGCCTGTCTGCGTAGTGTAAGGAGAAGGTGCAGGCAGTGGGGAGTCTGGCTGTAACTGTGGCTGCGATTGGTCAGGCGGTGGACACAGTAAGGGAGGAGTAAGGCCAGTAGAAGACGGGAGGCTAAGAACCTCGCGAAGCACCGAGTCAGGCGGTGGCAGAGACGACGGCGACGTCGGAGCAAAGAACGGTCGCCGCTGTGCAATACCACGAGCACCAGTACCACCAGCTCCAGCTCCTCCAGCACCAGCACCTCCAGTACGAGTAGCAACAGCTTAAGCGCCTCCAGCAGCTCCAGAACCTCCAGCTCCAGCGCCTCCAGCACCAGCACCTCCAACACCAGTACCTCCAGCTCCAGTGCCGCCAGCACCAGAAGCACCGCTAGCACCTCCAGCACCACCAGCAACAACACCTCTAGCACCAGCAGCACCACCAGCTCCGGCAGCTCCAGTACCTCCAGTACGAGCACCTCCAGGACCAGCAGCTCCAGCAGCTCCAGTACCTCCAGCTCCAGCGCCTCCAGCACCAGCACTACCACCAGCACCTCTAGGACTAGCAGCTCCAGCGCCTCCAGCTCCAGCGCCTCCAGTGGCAGTGCCTCCAGCAGTAGGGGCTCCAGCTCCAGCAGCGCCACTCCGAAGGCGGGTGCGCTGAGCAAACCACTCGCGCAGCTGCTGTGGTGAGAGAGGCTCCCGCCGGCGAGAGTGCTGTGGCTCAGCACCCCCAGACGCTGTACCCTCCGGCTCGGCACCCCCAGGCTCCGCACCCTCAGGCTCAGCACCCCCAGGCTCAGCACCCTCAGGCTCAGCACACCTAGGCTCCACACCCTCAAGCTCCGCACCCCCAGCAGCACCACCCCCAGCAGAACCAGAGTCGACAGCAAGCGGCGAGGGGCCGCCGCATTGTCAGCAGCAACGTCACCCCCCTCAGCTGGGCCAGAGGTGCCGGAAGAAACCTCAAGAGGCTCAGCCAAGGAGAGTGGGTCTACTTGAGACACACCTGAAGGAGCAGGACCCTGAGGGGGGAAGAGGTCTACCGGAGGGGGACCTGGAGCAAGGAAGAGCGGCGGGGGGTGGGGGGAGAGGACCAGTGCGGTAGGGGAAGAGACGGTAAAAGGGAACCGACTCGTCAAACGTGACGTCCTGAGAGGACAGGACACGGTACGTGGTGGGGTGGTAAAACTGCCAGCCAGGCGCGTCAGTGGGAAAGCCAAGGAAGACACAGGGAATGGCGCGGGAGGAGAGCTTGTTTGTGGAGGTATCGTGGACAAATGCACGAGAGCCAGCCCCATGTTAACGGGAGTGAGTGTTGGCCCCGCCCTCGCTTGGGCACCGCCGACAACTTCGTCGGATGTACGGAAGAAGCAGCCGACCGTTTCGCAGTGAAGGAGCTCCTCGACAGGCCTCGTCGAGCTGCAGGAGTTTGCTGTGGTGTTGCTGTCGACCAGGGAGCTCGACAGCTGCAACTGACTGGTCTGGGCGACGGGTGGGCCGTCGACCAGGAGGGGCAGTTCGACCGGGAGGTCGACGGAGCAGTCCGATGATCTGCAGTTCGATCGGGAGGTCGACAGAGCAGTTCGTCGACGGTCAACGAGGGGAGCTCGGCGACAACCGCTGACAGTTCTGGTCGACGGAAGGGGTCCGTCGACCAGGGGGTAGCTCGACGGGAGCTGTGGTCGACCAGAGGCACCTGGTGGTCGACCAGAGGGAGCTGTGGTCGACCAAAGGCACTTGGTGGTCGACCGGAGGCACTGGTGGTCGACCAGAGCACCTGGTGGTGTCCAGGTCGACCGGGTAACCTGCTCGATGAGTTCTGCGGAGGCACGCGAACGTCGTCGAGGTCGCGATGGCGAAGGCAACTTCGGGCTGGTATCTCGAAGTCGATGTGGCTCGTCAGGCGCAGACAACAGCCGACGGATGCACAACGATGCAAGTCGGACCAATCGTCTTCGCGCATCTGCGAGTGCGCGCACCTGCGAGCGTGCGCACTGCTGCCATCTATGGATGCAACGCTGGACAGCCGCACTGCTGCAGTGTTGGCACGCCGTCGACCTGCTGCGTTGGTAGGTCGCCCTTCTGTAGTGCTGGCGCGGCTCCTCTACGCAACGCTGGCAGGCGGTCGACCAAGCTGTGCTGGCGGTCGACCAGGCTAGCTGCAGGGTTGCTAGGTGCCTGATGTAGTCATTGTTGTCATTGCTTGTTCAATCATTCTGTAATTCCAACTTTGCCTAGTGAAACTCTTGCCGATTTCTCCCGTGAATGTCCAAGCACTAAGGAACTAGGTAACGCTACGATCACTCCTAGTAGATCGTGCCAGCTCCCGTAGCCTAGCTCACTACTGGTGTAGAGTGAATCTCCGCATGGTGCGGTGAGCGTGGAACGAACACGCGACCTTCAGATAGGGGCTGACTTTTGCACCTAGAAAGTCGTTCGTAGGCCGGCAGCAGCGTTAGTCGCCATGGTCGACCCCGTAGTTGATGCGGGCGTAGCGGACACCTTGGAGGCACGCTTGGCTGATGCGAGGAAACGCCACACGGATGGCGAGTACGGGACGATCTCTTGGGCGATCGTCAAGTTTTGGCATCCGGTCGCAGTGGGCGACGGAACACCCTTCCCGTCCTGCATCTCCTCGACCAGTGCGGAACGAAGGTGGCGTCGACGACGAGGTCGACGGTGGTGCACGAGTCAGCGGCAGCGAAGGCACGAAGCAGAGAGGGGTGATCAAGGTCGACGGTGGCGTCGACGGGATACAGGCGCGGGTGCAGCGGTCGACGGCGGCCGCAGGCAGCTCGCGTGGCAACGTTGATGTTCGACGTCGGTCCCCTCTACGAAGCGGTGGAGGGCTCTCGGCGACGACGCATGTGACGGCGGGCGGGATTGCGCCGGCGTATGGCTACTTCAAGTTCTCGCCGGACCGAATCACCGTCGCACCGCTGCAAGGTCGACGGGACCTCATCACCTGGAGGGAGTCGATAGAGCCTCAGCTGGAGGTTGCCGGGCTGAAGGGCTTCGCCGACGGCACCGTGCCCATTCCGCCCGAGGAGGGGTAATGGGGAGCGGGAAGGCGGAACGGGAAGATGGGAAGGGGAAATGGGGAGCGGCGGGGAGGCGGGAAGGAAAAATGGGGTGGCAGAAAGGGGAATTGGGGAGGCGGAAAAGGGAAACGGGGAGGTGGGAAGGGGAAACGGGGAGGTGGGAAGGGGAAACGGGGAGGTGGGAAGGGGAAACGGGGAGGTGGGAAGGGGAAACGGGGAGGCGGGAAGGGGAAACGGGGAGGCGGGAAGGGGAAACAGGGAGGTGGGAAGGGAAAACGGGGAGGCGGGAAGGGGAAACGGGGTGGCGGGAAGGGGAAACGGGAAGCGGGATGGGGAAACGAGGAGCGGGAAAGGGGAAACAGGGAGGGGGAAGGGGTCACGGGGAGGCGGGAAGGGGAAACGGGGAGGCGGGAAGGGGAAACGGGGTGGTGAGAAGAGGAAACGGGGAACGGGAAGGGGAAACGGGGAGCGGGAAGAGAAAACGGGGAGGCGGGAACGGGAAACGGGGAGGCGGGAACGGGAAACGGGGAGGCGGGAACGGGATCCGGGGAGGCGGGAAAGGGAACCGGGGAGGCGGGAAAGGGAAACGGGGAGGCGGGAAGGGGAAACGGGGAGCGGGAAGGGGTGATGGGAAGCAGTCGTTTCTGCAGTCATTTCACAGCCTTATGTGCGGCTATCGCGGCTAGTGCAGAAACGTGATAGCGAGGCTGTGCGATCGGGTGGCGACTATGATCGTGCGAGTTCGGGATTTTGAGACGCGTCGAGCGCGTTCACGGTGGCGTGAGGAGGCAGCATGGTGAGGCGACGCGACGGATGACGAGGCGAGGCTGTGAGAGGGCGGAGCTGACGTTGGTTCGGACGCGTAATTACAATAAACAGCCCCTTGCATCAAGCTTTGTGTCAGAAAGGGGTGATTTGCGCTGTCTGTTGAGTCACGATGTGCTTAGCTACGGTTTGTGCTGCCTGTCGTGCGTAGTGGCGTAGATTTCACAAGGGCTAGATTTTGTATACTTTTGTTGTTCCAAAACTTTTGAATTGCCAGTGAGTGCGGGGTGTGAGGGGGATCACCTCCCTTGTGGAGCGAGGGAAACTATGTTAGAATACTAGCACAAGTGGTAGTTAGGTTTAGGGCCTAGGCTTAGTAGCCTAGGCCAAAGGGGAGTCGAGTGAGTTTGTGCCAAGGCGAGAGAATGGGGAATGGTGTTCACTATAGCACTAGGGTACATATAGCAAACAGAGCATGCAAAGAAGGTGCACCACCAACAGTTTATAATAACTACACTAAACTACAGCTACAGGCAGTTACAGATATATTCTAACACTCCCCCATAACTGCCTGCAGCAGGAGTTTGTGCAGAACACAACCTGCAGGGGTACACCAGCAACAGCAACAGCAGGCATGGTAACAGAGCAGGTACAGCAAGACACTCCTGCCACCCCCTTACTCTCCTCCCCCCCGACCACAGGAGGGGCAGCAGGTAGAGAGAGGAGGCGGGCTGGCTCTGGCTGGTCACCCCCTCCATCCCCTCACCCTCCTCCTCCCCATCCCCACCACACTGCTGCAGGAGCAGCAGAGGGGGGAAGAGAGGAGAGGTGGAGGGACGGCTGCTGGTTGGGCTCACACCCGCCACCCCAGTGCCTCTCCCCCGGCTCCCCCACACCCTCACACCCTCCCCCCCAGCGGCAGCTGCAGCAGTGGGAACAAAAGGAGGAGGAGGGGAAGGGAAGCACACCACCCATCACCCCCACACCCGCCACCCCCATACCCTCCCCCCCACGGCTGCAGGGAGACGAAGGAGGAGGGGGTGGGCGGGGAGAAAGCCGCAGAGCGGCTACAGAGGGTCGGCGCGGGTAGGGCAGGGGCGGCTGCAGCGAGTGCTGGAGTGGGGTGAGGCAGAGGCGGCCGCACCGAGTGCAGGAGCGGGGGCGGCTGCTCCAAGGGCAGGCGCTGGGTGGTGCAGGGGCAGCTGCAGCGAGTGCAGGCGCGGGTGAAGCAGGGGCACCGTCGCGGGCGCCAGGGGCGGGTCCGCGGCGGCTCAGGGTGTGAAGAACAGAACGAGAATGATTGCATTGAGCAGCATGAGGAGTACAAGTACCAAACCCTAGAATGTTGTACCCCATATGAGCTACCCCACTACAGCCTACACAGACTATAGTGTATGAGTTTGACACACCCCCATAGGCAAGGTGGGGGAGAACAAGGGGTCACAAGACCAGTCAAGCAAAGCAAGGCAAAGCAAGCTCAGGGTGGATCACAACGTCACCACACAGTCTGAGCACAAGTTCAAGGCCACAAGGCCAGTTCACATGCAAGGTTACATATATATAACGCTAAACAAGCAAGGGCAGGTATATATATGTAACAGTACAAGCAAGGTCAAGAAGTAAGCAAGTGAGGCAAGGTAGGCACAAGACCTAACAGAGTACAGAAGCGCTGATGATCACAAGGCGCGAGTGCCTTGGTGAAGATATCAGCAGTGTTGGCCTCAGAGGCCACGTAAGCAAGGCGTAGCTGACCACGCTGCTGCAGCTCACGAGCAAGGAAGTAGCGGAGAGCGATGTGCTTCGTTCTGTGCTCCAGTCTGTGCTCCCGACACAAGGCCAGCATGGCCTTGTTGTCTACGTACAGCACTGGAGGAGACGGCTCTCCCAAGTCAGTCAGTAGGTAGGTGAGCCAGCGTAGCTCCTGTGCAGCCATGGCCCCTGCGTAGATCTCAGCCTCACAACTGGAGCCGAGAACAGAAGACGAGCGAGTAGACCGCCACGAAACAGAGCCGGAGCCAAGGCTGAAGGTGTAACCCTGTGACGATCGCTGCGTAGCCTGGTCGTCGGCCCAAGAAGCGTCTGCGTGACCAGTGAGGACTACTTG